AGCATTGACTCACTCAATGTGTTGGTAAGTTTCTCCACCCAGCTTCCTTATTCCCTCGATCGCCGGAATGGTTTGGCTACTGTATAGGGTTGCTACTGTCGCCGTGAATGATGACTTCCTGGTGATTCCATTCAAACTTTACTACCTGATGCAGTGTTGAAGCTACTGCCCCAGTAGCATGAATCCATGGCCGTCCCAACAGCAAGTTGTAAGATGCTGGTACATCTATTACCTGGAAATTGACCTCGAACCAAGTTGGTCCCATCTGGAGGCATAGACTAATCTCACCAATGGTGGACCTCTGAGAACCATCGAAGGCTTTCACATTGATTGCTCCATCCTTTATCTCATGCAGCCCTTTACCTAACTTCTTGAGTGTTACCAGCGGACAAATGTTAAGACTGGAACCTCCATCGATCAGGATTCTGGTGATGAAATAATCTTCGCATTGCACAGTGATGTGCAGTGCTTTGTTGTGCCCCAGCCTTTCAGGTGGCAGCTCGTCCTCATAAAATGTAATCTTATGGCTTTCCAGTACTTGTCTTACCATATTAGCCACTTCCCCGCAAGTGATGTTACTTGGTACATATGCTTCATTTAGCACCTTTAACAAAGCATTCTTGTGTGTCTCAAAATTTTGCAGCAGAGAAAGATGGATATTTGTGTTGGCGTCTTGTTTAACTGGTCGATGACCGAATATTTCTTGGCCTGTATTTTTCTCCAAAGGTCGTCCGGACCTATGTCAATAAGGGGCGGCTGATTGGAGGCCTGCTTGCTTGATTCAGCTAGATGTTCAGGGGTATAGACTCTACCAGTTCATGTCATACCCTGTGCTATGATAGGTTTTTCAATCCTAACCTTGCCCTTCCTTCTCTCCTCGGCTGTATAGTCCTAGGGTACAACATTTGTATAGAATGGTGGCATGGTTGACATCGCCACTGGGATCAGTGCGGTTATCCTCATTTCGAATGGAACATGTGCCTTGGGTGGAAAGAGTGCAACCTCAAATGGTGCAAGTTCATTCGCTGGAGATGCGAATTCGACCTCAATTGGTGTCGGTGTCTTTGCGGAAGGCGCTGCGTCAAACTTAAGAGGTATATACATTCACCTCAGCGTCCTCAGATGGTTGGACCTAGACTATGATTGGATTGAGAGTAATTGTTGGTTTCTTTGGGCCATTACCTTCTGCGATCAACCCGATTGATCCCTCGGGATCCCTTCTATTTCAATCATGTGGATACCTCCACCCTTATGGCCTGGAAGAGGGTTTTTGCAAACATTTGGAGGGTTCCTTTGCCACAATGATCTTGTTATCAATCAAAGACTGTATCTTGTCTTTCAAGGAGCGGCATTCATCGATAGTGTGCCCTTTCATGCCGGAGTGGTATGCACATGACTTGTTTGGGTTAACCCACTGAGAAGGATTCTCAGGGGTTGCAGCAGGGATGAGGGTGACATAACCAGCAGCTTTGAGCTTCTCATACAGCTGGTCAATAGGTTCAGCGATGGCTGTATATTTCTTTGGAGGTCTGCGATCAAAGCTAGGTCGGGGTCTAGGGAAATTTTGGCATGTAGGGGTGATTGATAATGGGATGATTGAGCATTATAAGTTTGGTAGACATGAATGGGTTGAGAGTATCTAGGTGAAGTAGGTTGATATGTAGGAGGTGGAGATGGCTGATAAGTTGGTGGCGGATCTTGGTATGAGGATGCTTGGTAATTTGGGATTGGCTGGTATGTGAGTGGAGATGTTGGGAAAGCTTGGTATTTAAGGGGAGACTTGGTACTTTGTCTAACCATCACGACCCCTATGTCCCTTTTCTTGTACACACCACCGGACTGTAAAGCCTTATTCGTAGCTTGCAAGGCTTCAAAATTTGTAACCATACCACTTTTAATACCTTCTTCAATTCTTTCACCTAATTTGATAATGTCGGAGACCTTGTGGTTCTCAATCATCATCAGCCGTTCATAGTACTGCGGGTCCTGAGCCCTGACAAAAAACTTGTTCATTTTCTCCTCTTCTAAGCCGGGTTTGACCTTAGCAACTACGGACCTCCAGCGAGTAGCATACTCATGAAACGTCTCTATGGGCTTCTTCTTCAAATTCTGGATATAGAACACGTCTGGTGCGTTCTTTGTATTAAACCTTAATCTGTCCATGAAGTTAGATGCCACGCCCACCCAGCTTGACCACTTCTTGGGATCTTGGCTGATATACCAAGATAATACATCTCCCTTCAAACTCCTCATGAACAACTTCGTGCGGATCTTTTCATCCTACTCTACTCCAACCAGCTTGTCGCAATATATCCTCAGATGGACCCTTGGATCACCCATACCATCAAACATTTCGAACTTAGGAGGTTTGTACCCTTCAGGTAGTTCGACATCAGGCTGTATGCAAAGGTCCTTATAGTTCAGCCCCTCGATTCCTTTGCTTCCCTCAACGCCCTGAATTCGGCTGGTCAGTTTCTTAAGTTCCTCGGCCAAGTTCTTGATAAGCATATCCTTTTCATCAGACTCAGGTGTGCATGAGATAGGTTGGGTGGAGTGTGGCATGGTCTTCACATATATATGAGTGTTATGGTGGCCTTGTGTATGGGTGTGGAAATGGTCGTTTGTGGAGTTCTGAGGTTCTGGGATGAATAGTGGAGTGTTGTTTGGGGTATGGCAGGTGTTACATTGGTTCTTTGATGGAGCAGTGTGATGGTGAGACATGGGATGATTCTGCTATTTTGGGATATTTTGAGGAGGTGTAGGGTTTTGAGCAATGGGGAAGTTGATATCTAGGGTGCAGAGGGAAAATGACAGGTTTGCCAGATTCCGAACCTGATCGAGCTCTTCCTGGAATTTCAACAGTTTCTATTCAAGTTGTGACATATTCTTGTTAGGAACCCGAATACCCTAGCCATCAGTGTCCTCTACCCATTCAGTTGTGTTCTCCTTCCTGATGTTGTTTAAATCTTCCATTTTATTCTTGCCTTTAGTGGGACTAAGAGGAGGAGTGGGTGGAGGGCACCTGGATCTTGTGAAATAAGATGATGATGCCAGAGTGCACGAACTAACCTTTAGGGAGGGGAATAATAAAAACAAAAGGTAATCAAGTCAGTGAGGATTATAAAAAGCATCGCAATATTTAAACACATAGTGAGGGAATATAAAGCGTGTCCTAATTTAGGAACCTCTTTGTGCCCGAGGTAGGCCTAGCGACAAATATACTTGGAGAAATTTTAATGCTAAATGCCTCATTTTATTGATAAAGATAGGCGAATCCCAAAACGACACTAAATAAGCAAGAAATAAAAGTCACTAATGGCCATTGGCCTTATTACATTCATAAAGCGAAAAAGTAAATTCCTATCTATTTGGTCCCAGAAGGATCTTTCCCAGATTCGACATCCTTGGCTCTGTTGAACAACTTCCCCAATTCGCGAAGTCCTAGCAACAGGTATGCTCTGGCTAGATGTCCCCCTTCGGTCCCTTCAGCCTTTTGACAGTTTTCAATCCTTTTGAGAAATTTTTCCTCTAGTTCTACTATGCCTCGCTCCAAGTATCCTAGCCTTTTGTTGGCACTGATAGCCATGTATTTCCATTTCTCAATCAACTTCTTGTTGGACTCTTGTATCTCGTGGTGTTTGATCTCGCATTCACGGATCCTTTTGTGCAGCTGGTTGTACTTGACTTGCACCTCAACCTTTTCATCTATAATTCGGTGACCTTGAACAACCCTGGCTAGCCCATACCATCCCAATTGTCTTCCAACCAACCAGAATAGAAAGGGCTGCAACTGGCATGATATCTTTCTGGCTCGATGGTTTCTTTCTCCATTACGATCTTTCAGTGACACATGTTCTGGGCTTGGGACTATCATCATTTTGGAAGTCAGCTCGAAGATGGCTCATCTTGTCGACCCTGGGTATGACTTGCTTCCTACCTGCTTGCCTCATAACTCGAAGAGGGACGTAAGGGTATGTCCCTCTTAGACTAATCAGTATCAGGAAAGGTGCATCTCTGGATCGGGCGATGAACTCCTCTGTCGGAAACCACTCGAACATCTATTGAACCTATTCTTCAGTCAGATTATCAAAGAGCTCAACCCATACTTTGGCATTCTCAGGCTGAGCGAACATGTCGGGGATGTAATTCATTCGCTTTGGATGGTGAAAAGTGATGTGGTCATTGATCACTTCAAACTCCACACTACTAAAAAGTAGGAAGAGAGGGTCGCAATAGCTTTTACCCGATATGAGGGTCGGGATCGATTTCCACAGGGAGGTAGGAATGGAGTCGAGTATCTATCTAGACTAGAAGTGTGTATTTGTTCCAAATGTCACTTCCATACTTTTTTGGGTTTTTACATTATAAACTACTATTACCAAGCTATTAATTGAAACTAGATTATGCTACGAGGTAATTATTAAGTTGTATCTAATGGGAAGAAGGGCACTAGGGTCGTGACATTACTTAGGTGGCTAATTGACGGGTCGAAGTTACTAAAGTTCGATTGACATAATTGGGGCTTATGCTATAACCATTGCACAATTTTACCCACTCTCACACTTCTCGGTAGAGAGAGTGATTTTGCCCAATTGACTCTCTCGAGACCAAACGGGTAGGCAAATTAGCTCAAGCAACTAGGGTTAAAGCGAGGTAATTACTCTCTCGAGGTTTAACCCTTTAATTGGGACTATCAATTCTCTTGAGTCCATCCCAATTCCTTGTTGGGTCAATTTTGGAGACTTGGGCTCTCTTTCTCAAGAAGAGCCAAGTCAACTTAGCACAAACCAATGTTTGCAACCACCAATTCATAAATTAAACCATAAAATTGACCCAAATAACAAACACTCATAGTCAATCTAACAATAAATGGCAACACCCATCAATTACCCACACTAGAGTTGAGCCACAACCCTAGCTAATGGGTTTAGCTACTCATGCTTGAAGAAGAAAATAGAGAAATAGATGAAGAACAAGGCATATTAATTAAATGCTAAATGAAAATACAAGAATCTATCGTTAACTTGAAGCTAAGATGCCAAAAATGGCTACAGATGAAGTTCCCACGAGCCCAGCTAAGTTCTGGATATATCTCATAACCTAAAAATGATAAATTGTTCTATTTAAACTAGGCTGGAAAAACTGGAAAAAAATACCCATGCGGGGTCAGTGCGGGCCGCGTAAAATGGACCGCTGCTGTGCTAGGCTCTTGGACTTTAATTTTGGGTTCTTTGACTTGGGCTTCGCGGATCGCGTAAAATGGACCGCGGCCGCGGAGGCAGCTATCGCGGTCCACACAATAATGACCGTAGACCGCGTTAGCATTTTCCATCTCTCTGAATATCTCTTCCGCGGACCGCACAAGAAGGCAGTTCGGCCGCGGAACCTTCACCGTGGACCACACACTATGGACTGCGGTCGCGTTTCCTGAGGCCTGGTTTTTGTCATCTATCTGAATACCTCTTTCGTGTACCGCACAAAAAGGCAGTGCGACCACGAAACTTTCACCGCAGACCGCGCACTGTGGATTGCGGCCGCGTTGCTTGAAGCCTGATCTTGCCATCTCTCTGAATCACCTAGTGCGGCCGCATTCCATTTTGTGCGGTCCGCACTAGGCTTGTTTGCCCTCAGTTTACTTTGTCTTTGATACTTGAGTAGGTTTCACTCCGTCTGAGCCGATCTTTGATATTTCGTCACTTTGTCGATCAAACCTGCAATCAAGCACAACTTATGAGCCTTTTGGGACTATTTTATAATGATTTATAATCAAAGCATAAGCAAGAAGGAGCATAAAACTCGTTAAAATATCTACTTATCAACTCCCCCAAACTTAAACCTTTGTTTGTCCTCAAGCAAACAAAATAAGACCCACCCCTTAAAGGAAAATCCAAGTATTTCCAACTATCCTAAAATAACCTCAACAAGCATCAATTGGGACTAACAACTGCCCTCAATACGAATGAATCATTAATAACATTTAAACTTTGAAAAACTATGGATCAAGTGTGACACAAGAGCATCAAGAGTTGACTCATTACATCAAAGAACTCTCTCCATTTACTTTGGCCATTGTGGAACCCAAACTCACACATCCTCA